TCCCTGTTCTCAGCCGATCAGGGGCAAACATCAAGAAACACATCCAGTGTCAGCGTAAGCAACTGTGTGTTCTGGCTGGCAAGGAGAGAGGAAGGGCTCTGCAGAGCTGCCCCTGCTTTCCCAGTGTTTTCAGAGCACTGTGTCCCATGTGGCTGCTTCGTGCTCCTGCTGGTTCCAGCAGAGATGCTTGTCTGTCCAGCAGCCTCCCTTCTTACCACTGGCCCCTCTGGGTGACTTCAGCTGCCTTCCTCAGCACGCAGTGGGACATGGCACATGGGGCATTAGCCCTACTGCTTTCTGTCCCAGCATGACTGCAGGGCCAGTATCTTCCTCTGCCACTTGCCTGTGTTTGCTCCCAAGTCAGTGCTCAGAGCTGCACAGGGTGAGGGGATGCCCATTCCCCTGGGCCATCAAGGTCTGCAGGTCCCTGTGCTCCATGGGCATGCATTGGGCCCTGGTGTTTGTAGGACTGAGCCCCATGGCTCCAAGAACCAGCCTCCCATCGCAGGAGTCTGGGCTAATACATGCTTTTAGTGCCTTCTTTGCACACAGAGGAGTTGGAGCCCAGGTACTGAAGCCCAGGCTCACTCATTCGCACTGTTTTACAAATTGGCACCCAGCTCTGCAGACCGGAACGGAGCCCACTGATGGGGGATGAGGAGGATGCAGCTAATTCAATGCACCCGTGCTTAGGGAAAAGGCTGGGCTCTAGCTTTGCATACAGGTGGCCCTGTAGTCACCAGTGTGGCTTTTCTGGGATGGAAGAGTCTTTTCTGATGCTAATGCACCCCTGCCAGAGGAGGAGGGGGTCCAAACGGTCCCTCACAGCAAGGCCTGGCAGCACAGCAGCAGCAGCAGCTATGGGAGGGCCTGGCATGCCTGATGGTGGGCAAACCCCGTGAGACAGCTGTGGGTTGAGCACATGGGGGAATCCCTGTTTTCCAACCTGACTCGGTTGCTGTGAATGGTGTCTGTGTCCTCCTGGGAACCGTTCCCAAAGCGCCCTGCCAGGTCCCTGCCGCCCATGCCAAGGGAGCCAGGCGCTGCGCTCCAGCTGCTGCTGCTCCCCCAGAGCCATCAGCGCTTGGTTTCTGCTGGAGACTGCTGGGACCCGCCGAAAAGTCCCCAGGACAAAAGGATGAGGGGGAGATCCCCAGCTTTATTTCCTTCCTCTAATGAAATGCAGATGCGCCCTCCTTGGGAGATGAGGAGGTTCCTGCTGCTTTCCCTCCCTGCAGCCTGGGTAGCCCATGCTGAGCAGGATTTGGAAACGCAGCCCCAGGCCTCTGCTTTGCCGCATTTATTTTAGTAACTGTGTGTTTGCATTTTAAAGGCTTTTACAAGAAAGCCCTTTCCTTGAAGGGGTGGAGGCAGAGTGGGAGCTGGAGCAGCCTCTGCCAGCAGGCAGCAGAGGGGGGTCTCACGCTGAGGAAGCTTTCTGTAGTGGTGGGAGGAAGGTCTGTGGCTCCTCTGGGGTACTTGTCCCTGCAGGAGGGATGGGAGGGCATCCCTGCCTGCCATCCCCTGCTAACAGAGACAAGCTAATGAAACAGCCTCATTTTTAAAAGGTGCTGTAGGACCGTAATGAGTAGCTGGTGAATTTAAGACAATTACTTCAATCATTTGCTTGGGGCCAAACGAGCTCCTTAATATTCCTGCCTGTGAATTTCCCTTTGTGTGCGGGTGGCAGCTGTCTCTCCGCACCCCGCTTGGTGCATTAATGTGGGAGTTACCAAGGGTTCTTCTTTGTTCAGACAACATCCCTGTCCCTTGCAGGATCCTTGGGAGAGATTCTGGCTGAAGGAGACTTGTCAAGAGCCTTGTGAACGTGCCAGGGTCCAGCAGAGCGATAGGCGCAGGGTCGTGGGCTGCCCCTGGAGTAACGCTTCGCCCTCTTTCTCCGCAGGGGTCCCCGGCAGTGATTACATCAACGCCAATTACATCGACGGCTATCGGAAGCAGAACGCCTACATCGCCACGCAGGGACCTCTGCCAGAAACCCTCAGCGACTTCTGGAGGATGGTGTGGGAACAGAGAACGGCAACTATAGTGATGATGACCAGGCTGGAGGAGAAGTCCAGGGTACAGTGTGTGCTTCCTCTATTTCTGGTGGGCCAGGAGAGAGGGATGGGAACGCTTTATAGCGTAAGAGCATCCAAGGAGAGGCAGAGCCAGTGGTGCATCTCGCTGCTGCAGGTGCCCCAGCCACACGTGCCTTGTAAGCATATCCCTGTGGGGCAGATGGGTGGCAAAACCTCCTGTTGCCATGCTACTCGTTAGCACCTCTCTTTCCCTACTCGCATCGCTTGCGCCAAAGGGAGAAAGGAAAGCTCCGAGATGGGGAGTGTTGACAGTCCCTGAAAGCCTGGAGGCTGCGTCCTGGAAGCTGAGAAGCTGCAGTGGGTAGGTGGTATCAGCAGCATCCTGCAGCCTGACGGGGCCCTGGCATCTCTGGCAATGCAGGAGAACGGCTGACGGGGGTCTCAGCGCAGTAGCAAGACTAATTTGTGCCTTGTCCAATGACAACATGTGTAAATGATCGGCTCATCCTGCCAAGATTAGATATTCTGATGTAATAAATGCAAAGCTGCCTGCAAACCGTCGGGAAGGCGCGAGGTGGAGAGGAAGGAGCAGGAGCCCTTGCTGCGAGTGATGCTTTTGGTGTCTGATGACAGAGGCTCCTGCTCAGCCCCGGAAGCAGGAGCTCGTAAGCTGTGACCGAAGCGCTCCCGTGCCCAGATCCACCCTTTGGGCAAAGCCTGCCCAAGCAGGAGACGGCTTCTGCCTCTCGTGATTCGGTTTGTTCCTAAAAGTTAAATTTTAGCAGTGAGCATTTGTGCTTGCAGAATATTTTAGTGTTGCCATGCCAACGGCAGGAGAAGGGGCTGTGCGCTCAAGCTGTGAAGCGCTGGTTATTTTTAGCCCAATAAGCTCGTTCTTAAGAAGCAGAAACTGTCGAGTTTAGGTTTAGTTAAAACTTTGGCCTGCATCCTCTCCCTCCTTTACAAAGCTTTAGCACCAAAAGGCTCACGGGGGTGTCCTGACCCACACTGACTGGGAAGAAGCAGCTGGAACAACCTATTGCCGTGGCTTTTCCTGCGTGTACGAAACCAGGCCTTGTTCACAGGCTTCCCCAGCTCCACAGATGCCCTACAGCCTGCATGGAAAAAATGGTGTTCCTTGGAGACGAGCTGTCCCTAGAGATCCAACCCCAGCTTTGCGCTGTGCTTCCTGCTGCGCAGCCCTGCCTGATGGCCACGATTGCCCGCTCCAGCCCGAACAGGGAGATCAATTAACCTGACCCTGAGGTCCAGCGCTTGGCACATGGGCTAAGCAAAATCAGAAGCTGCTGATCAGCTGCTCTCTGCAGCTGGGGGTTATATGGGGGCTTTTTTGTGCCTTCACTTTTCAGTGATGGAGCACGTATTTGAAGTACAAGGGAAAGCCCTTTTAGGTTGCCAAGTAAATCCGTGCCCGGAGTCCTGACTCACTTAACTGCTGGGCTGCTCAGTTATGGGAAGGCACTCCAAGGTGCGTGTTTCTTGAAGATAACGGGTTTCCTTTGACCCCACAGGCACTTGTCTTTGCCCGAGACGCAGCACAGGCTGCCGAGCCGTGTGTTATCTCCCCCCAGCACAGTCCCTGTCATGTCATCCTGCAATTACCTCCTGCAGTATTGGTTGTTCCAGACACGGTGCTTGTGGTCAGGCTTTTGGTGATGGAACGGGCACTGTAAATCCCTGTGGTGGGCAGGGGGTGACCAGAGTCCTTGCAGAAGTTGCAGGCAGCCTGCGTGACCGGGCGTCCTGCCCAGGGGCTCTAGGCTGACCCGACTGGACCCAGACCCCAATATTCGCTCCCAACACCACCTGCCCACCGCTGGCTCTTTGGCACGACCCCAGCTGTAAGGAGAAGTGGGCAGTTTTCTCAGGCAGGTGGGGAAGCCCAGCGACTCCTGAGTCATAGCAAGGGCTTCCTTGGATGAGTCTGATGGACCCTGTAGGTGCACACTCGCAGGAGGGCCCTGGTGGGGAGCTGGTGGACTTGCAGCAGATTATTTTCCTCTGGGTTTTTTTGTTGGCTTCTCCAGCACCTTCCAAGGCAGGATGGCTTTTAGCCACCTTCCTGCACTGCTTTTCCTCATGCCCCTTTGGTGCTGGTCAGAGCTCACCCAGGAGCATACCTTTGTGGTACCGAGGAAGATCCCGGTCGCTGCCCATTGCTCCCAGCTTCCAGCCTATGTCACTGTTTTACTGTTGACTCCACTCCAGAGCCTTCAGACGTCACCTGATCCAACCCCTTGGGTCCCCGCAGCATCGCTGCCTGCTGCTGCTCCCACTGCTGCGGGACAGCTCTGCTCCAGGCAGTCGCATGCATTACCCATGGGTGACCTCGCTTGAATGTCCCCTTGCCCCGGGGCTTTGGCTGGCACTGGGCTGTCTCCAGCTGTGGAGCCTGGGGTGGGCAGCAGGGCCTCATGGTGAGATGCCCAGCACAAAGCAGGCTCTGCCACCTTCCCAAGCGAGCTCCCCAATCTCCCTTCGGCAGTGCTGTGCGTAGATAAGCTGACTGGGACCAGCAGCAGCTTTGCAGCCCTGTAGGGTGACACTGCTTTAAAGGGCTCCTGAGCTGCAGGGGGAAAAAAATCTTTAAAGAGCATCAGCTTTTATGGTCTGCAATTTCAGCTGGCGTGATGGTCCAAATCATCCTCCCTTTTTCATGTTTTCACAAAGCGAGAGGCACATAAAGGATAGAAATGGCTGGATTGTGCAATTTAGCTGCCCTCAAAGCTTTACAATCAGTTTCAGAATCATTTGGTGGCAGTTCAGAAACACACATTGTAGATTAGCTTTCCCGAAGCTGCGAGCGTGGCGCGTCCCAGCCGGGCTGTGTTGCACAGGAGAGGTATTAAAGCAGGATTTCTCCTACCCTGGGCTATCCCCAAGAGCCTGGCAGAGCGAGGTCTCCCACAGCAGCGCCTTGGCTCGTTCTGTCCCAGCCCAGAGCACCAAGCAGCCGTTCCTGGGGTGTGATGTCCCCAGGCAGGGGTGCAAAAAGGCTGGTGCTCAAGGGCTCAGGGGGAAAGAGGGGCCTGGTGGCTGCATCCTGCTGCATCCCCCTGAGCAGCAATGCCACTGGAGCTTTGTGAGCAGGGCTGGGAGCAGAGAGGACCTCTCCAGCTGAGGAGAGGTGCCCGGCTGCTCCTGGGCACAGGGCATCAAAGGGGAGGGACAGGAACTGCTCAGCAAAGCTGCACTGAACGGCTGTTCAGGACATTACCGTGCTCCTTAAGTTAATGAGAGGCAAGGACTGCCAGAAGAAAACATCTCTTATCTGCTTTAGTGCCACAGTGCATCGGCTTCAGCATAAAATTTACAGAGCTTGAAAATGGGGCATAAACATTATGGGTAAATTTGGCAGAAAATGTGACTGACTCTTATCTGGTCATGAATAAATAATTTTCAATTACTAACCCAGGCGCTGCTGTTACCCCACGCAGGGAACTCCTCTGAAGTTTGTTTTGTGCTCGAGCACACACGGGCTGGCCCTGTAGTGTGTGGGTGGCAGGAGGAGACCAAGGTCCCCGAGGTGCAGGTCCAGGGATGCTGTGCAAGCTACACCCAGGGTGACACAGCAGGCAGCTGTCCCCAGCGTCTGCAGATGCCACTGTGTGCTCTCCTCACCTCCTTTAGAGATGGGTCACATCATCCCTGAGCCAGGCAAGGCGAACTCAGGCGGCCAGAGATGCAGCTGCAGCTGCTGCCCGCTTGTGAGGGTAGGATCAGTTTAGCTGCGAAATAAGGTTTGTGACCTCCGAGTTGTTCGTTCTGCAGTCAGCGTAAAATGACGGGCTGCTGTGTGCCGAGCGAGGGAGAGAAACCTTCTGAGATTTGCGCAGGGCGTGCTGTGCTGCGAGCACAGATCCAAGGCAGCGCAGTGGCCTGAACGGCCGGAGAGCCTGGGCAGGAGGCAGCAGAGCTGCTCTGGACGTGCAGGCGTCTGCAGGGCCCCAGCAGGCAGCCTTGCTCCAGGCACTTCTGCCAGGGCAGGACTTACGAGAGCAGACCCCAAAAACAGCAAGGATAGATGCACCCCTCTGACCCCAGGCTGCCGCACTCCAGCACCCAGAGTGCACGATGAGGGCTCTCCGCTCTCATAAGCCCCACCCTGCTTAAAGTGCCTTCAATTAAAAGGCAGAACTTCATTGATTTCTAATTAAGCCTGTTGTTTCCCTTCCCACGCGTTCCTCTGTAAACACGCTCGGCTAATAATTAAGTTTACTATTCCTTGACAAGCACAGATGATCTCCCATTCACTCCTCTCTCCTAGGGCGGGAAACTGTTTTCGGTGCGGTGCACACGGGTGGGAATGAAGTCTTCCTCCTGTCAGCCAGGCAGCGTGGCTCCGTGGGGCAGGGGAGCCAGGTGCCAGATGACATAGGGATGCTCAGGGTGCCAAATTGAATAGGGAGAGAACGAAACCGGAGGAGTAGGTTGCAAATGCTGAGCTGTGAATAGGAGGAGGTGAGCAGGGAGGGCTTCACAGGGAGAGGAAGGGAGTAGAGATGGGGCCCTGGGGATGTGTTAGGGCTCTCTTGCAGCAGGAGCCGGGACCAGTAGCTCAGTGTTTTGGCTGTGGGGCTGCCAGAAGGGCAGGCTGGCATCTCTTAGGGATGCTCAATGCACTCCAGCCTACAGCAACGCAGAAAGAGTGGCAGAATCAGCCCTGTGGACACAGCATCCAGGCTGGAGCCCTGGCATGGGCTGTGTCCCATTGTTCATCAGGGTGGTTTACTGTCTGGGGCCCATGGTGGCAGGGGTATGGGGACTAGGGATGCTACAGGGGGAAAGCAGTGCCTGTTGTGTACTCACCATAATGGGGAGCAGAGCTGTGTCCTGTCCCAGCTCAGTGGTGAGGACCTTGGGCTGGCAGAGCAGGGGGCTGGAGGGGATACAGGCTGTGTCTCCTCGGCTGCCCTTGGAGCAAAGCCTTCTCCAGCGAAGCCACCGCTTCTCCTGCCCTGCTTCACCAGCTCTCCCCCACCAACCCACAGCTGCCAACCTTCTCTTCATCCAGGCAATGCTCAGGCAGGGAGATGGTACAAACACAGCCCCAAAGACCCCCATCTTCCCCAATAGAAGGTAGAGAAGGAAAATTATAGCAGGCACAAATCCCTTCTAGCAGTTGCTGCACGCTGCCTTCATACCTAGTGCTGCTCTTGCCTCTGTCTGGTGACCTGACCCCCTTTGCTGCTTCCCACCAGTGACTCCAGAAAAAATCCTAATCCCCTCTTTTGAATGTGAATCTTGTGGAAAGGAGCTCAGGGTGTGCTGCCTCTCTGCTGTGGATTGGGCCATTCAGAGAGAAGGAAATGTGGGTGTTTGCGACCCCATACACAGTGACTCTTTTCTCTCTCTTTACCCTTTGGAGGGCAGAGCCCAAATCCTCACCCCGAATGCCCTAGACAGCAGCCAAGCACTGACCCTTTCTCCTTTCCTCCCCGCAGGTAAAGTGTGACCAGTACTGGCCAAGCCGAGGTACGGAAACCTATGGGATGATCCAGGTGACCCTGCTGGACACAGTCGAGCTGGCGACCTACACCGTCCGCACCTTTGCGTTGTACAAGGTATGGCACTGGCTGGGCTGTGCACAGGTAATGCACAGGTAATGCACAGCCAACACCCGATGCTGTGAGTGCTGCACGGCCCATGGGGAAACCAGCTGCAGGTTGTGCATCTGGCCCCTGCTGGATTTTGGCCAGGACAGCTGATGCTCTCCTGTATGCATTTCAGCCCCTGTGATGGGCTTATGCTTCCCTCTGGTGACCGTAAATGTAACAGCTGTCCTTCCATTAAAGGGTGAACATGGGAAGCAGTGAATTCTTAGCACTCCTGTTACTAATAATGCAAATGTAGGGGCCTGGCTGACATGTGCACGTGCCCTTCTTGTCCCTCATTAGTGTTTGGAAATCCCGGGGGGCAGTGCTAGCAGCAGTGTGTCGCAGTGTGTCACAGCAGCGCCCACGGGCTTTGCCTCTGTGTGTGACTGAGCCCGGCCACGCTGGCTGAGAGCACAGCAGCGTGTGGTCACACCCCAGGAAGGCACTGTGCTCCCAGCAGTCACCCAGCCAGTCCTGCTGCGTTGCTGCCTCCGTCCCTCAGCCACACCTGACAGGAGCAGGGCAGCCTCTGCTCAGCCTCTCGCAGAGACCCACGGTGCAGAGGAGCAGGGAAGGAGCCGGTTGCTGTGAACCTCCCATGCCTGGTTCCCAGTTTTCCCTGAACGTGCAGCAAGTCTGCAGGTAGTGACCCCATGCTGTGCAGAAAGGAGCCTTCCACCTTCCCGCCAGTCAGCTCCACTCCCACAGTTTCTCTGCTCTCTGTATCAGCTGGCTTTCCACAGAGCACCAGGGTGTACAGAAGCCTTGCAAGAAGCCTGCATTTTGCCTCTGAATTTTCAGTGGCAGAAGCCCAATACATCACAGAATCCCAGGATGTGAGGAGCTGGAAGGGACCTGCAAAGCTGATCCAGTGCAACCCCTGCCACAGCAGGATCACCAGAGCAGTCACACAGGAACACGGCCAGGGCTTTGGGTGTCTCCACACAAGGAGACTCCACAACCTCTCTGGGCAGCCTGGGCCATGCTCCAGAACCCTCACATTCACAAAGTTTCTCCTCATCTTCAGCTTGAACCTCCTGTGCTCCAGCTTGGGACCACTGCCCCTTGTCCTGGCATTGGCCATCCCAGAGCAGAGCCTGGCTCCTTCCTCCTGACACTGCCCTTTCCCAATGGATCCCCAGGAATGAGGGCACCCCTCAGTCTCCTCTGCTCCAAGCTCCAGAGCCCCAGCTCCCTCAGCCGCTCCTCAGCAGGAGATGCTCCACTCCCTGCAGCATCTTTGTGGCCCTGCTGGACTCTTTCAAGCAGTTCCTGTCCTTCTTGAGCTGAGGGCCCAGCACTGGACACAACATTGCAGCTGTGGTGTGAGCAGGGCAGAGCAGAGGGGCAGGAGAACCTCTCTGCCCTACAACCACATGCACACAGCATTACGCGCCTGTTGCTGACCTGCCAACTGAGTACCCTGTAACCCCATCAAGGGGTTCCCATCCTAGGATGAGACAGTTCTCACGCTAAACAACTCCACTGTGTCTTCCACAGAACGGCTCCAGCGAGAAGCGAGAGCTGCGGCAGTTCCAGTTCATGGCTTGGCCTGATCATGGGGTGCCAGAATACCCCACCCCGATCCTGGCTTTCCTGCGGCGGGTCAAAGCCTGCAACCCACCGGATGCTGGGCCCATGGTTGTCCATTGCAGGTAGGACGGCGTGGTTGTGAAGCTGCACTTGGGCACATACCTCCTGGCTGCAGGAGCTTTGACCTGCCCAGCTAAAAGAGGGGTCCCCTGTTCCTGCAGGGAAGGTTTCAGGGTGCCATAACCCGTGCTGCATTCCTGGGTTAGCGGCACCCAGCAGGCGTAATGCAGTGACGTCTGCGTTGCTACTCCTCTGTCAGATTAAACAGCTCTGCTGTATGGAGAGCCTCAGAAAACACTTTTTCCTGCAAAACTGCACATACCATTTGAAAATGAAGCGATCTGCACCCAGCATAAGCCGGTGGTACCTTTCTGAGGTGCATCATTGACAGAGGCGCATGCGGTGACCTCCCCAAACATCCACATGGAGTATTTACAGTAGAACTCTTTCACAGGGCAGAAAGGCAGCTCTTTAAGCAAAATATTAGTCCTCTAAGGCTCAGCATCTTATCCAGGCAAGATTTATCTATACCAGCCGAGTGGGGACTATTAGTGAACAAACCACTCCATCACTGCTGTTCCAGCATACGCCTTACCAGCCGTGTTTAATGCTCTTCTTTCATGCTCTGTTTCAGATGGGAGTGGGGTATAATTAACACACAAACAAGCTGTACTAAAGCCCTGTTAAGGATCTGACTTGCACCATAAACGAGGAAATGTCTGGCTCCATATCTCTGCCTGTGTTTACACGTCACACCAGCGTGTCTGTTGTTTCCAGGGTGTTCTCGGGGTGAGCAGTTCGGGGATTGCTACTGTCCTTCCAACAGACATGGGGAGGCAGCTGGTGCTTGACCAAAAGGCCTTAGCACAGAAATGCGTCATCTCACCTCTCTGCTTTCCCCTCTAGGGCCGCCCATCCTTGTTTTAGTGGTTAGGAAACAGTGACTCAGGTTAGGGAACAAGCAGGTTTGAAATTACAGGCTTTACTGGTGCCAAGGCTTGGCCCGGACTCCAGGTCTTCTGCCTCCATGCACGCTTACTCTGTCACCCTCCTGCCTGTTAAACACATTTCTTCTTCCCTTGTGGAGGTGCTGCCAGCCACCACAGGGACCAGCAGGGTGACCCCATGTCCTTTCCGCACCATCAGTGGAAGGGGAACAGCAGAAGGGCTGAGTTGCCTCCCGCACTGTCCCCTCTTGTCACCTCTTGTTGAAGGCTCAGCGCGGGGAGCAGCCTTTGCTGCCCTTTTGTGCACCCTAGCTCCGGGTCATCTCAAGCAAGAGCAGAGCTCGGATGGCGTCATCTCAGGCCACGTCCTTTGTCCCCGCAGCGCCGGCGTGGGCCGAACCGGTTGCTTCATCGTCATCGATGCCATGCTGGAGCGGATGAAGCACGAGAAGACCGTGGACATCTATGGGCACGTGACGTGCATGCGCTCTCAGCGCAACTACATGGTGCAGACCGAGGACCAGTACATCTTCATCCACGAGGCCTTGCTGGAGGCTGCCACGTGTGGCAATACCGAGGTGCCTGCTCGCAACCTCTTTGCTCACATCCAGAAGCTGACCCAGGTGCCGCCGGGCGAGAGCGTTACTGCAATGGAGCTGGAATTCAAGGTAGGTGGCAGAGCCCCGGCACCCTTGTCTCTGCCCACACAGACCCCTCAAGCTGCTCGTCTAAGGCTTGGGAAAGGAGAGCCTGGGATCTTACAGACAGTTATTCTTTTGTGTGTTTCTAAACGAGGTAGGCAGTGTTTTAAAATACATTTGAATTGTGAAGCTTGTGTCAGCCGCGGTCCCCCCTGGATTGGCAGTTTCTGGGGAGGATATAAAAGGCAGATGGATGTGCAGTTCTCAGCAGCACGCTCTGCTCTAGGTTCACTGTGCGGCTGGAGCTGCATCTGAAATCAGATGCAGATCGTGTTAGTGATAATTGATGTTACTGTGAACAACTTGTCTGGAAATGGCTCCAATTTAAATGAGACATTTATAGTCTCATTTCTTCAGTGCTCAGCTCTGTTGTCTTTTAACCACCTCGACACCAAGCCTCGGTGTCTAGAATTGGTGAAGGCAGTGTTTCAAGAAACACAGTTTTTAATGAGCCAAGCCCACATTTTGCTCTCTGTATCTGTGAATGCTTACTGCAGATATTTATTACAGCCTTGGAGATGGAAGCGAGCTCTGGGAAGTGCCCATATTCTCCGATGAGGTGCATTAGTCCAGTGAAGTCACGCAGGGGGACACAGCTCATGCAGGGAGGCAGCAGACCATGCAGGCTGTGAAATGAACTGCAGCAATACAGCTTCACCCTGGGGATTCCCTTCAAGTGACAAAGGAGCAGGAGAGGCACATATTGACTTTCTGCATAAAGTGGGATAAAGCTGAGCAGCTCTGTCCTGTCGTCACCAGGGATGCTGCTGTCCTGGGCTTGGGGCAGTAAAAGATGCTGCAGTACTATCTCACGGTGAGACCTGCCCTGAGAAACCCCTCAAGAGAGCCACAGAATTAGGCTCAACTCTGGCAACTCTGCTTTAAGAAAGACCAAAAATTGCTGTTTCTTCAAGGGTCTCTTTAGAGCAGTAATAAAATGTGCCTCTCTCTGTGTTCTGGAAGTGCCCACTGTGTGGGAAAGCCTGGGGAGCAGGATATGGGAGGGCCTCACATGGCTGCATCACTCCCCAAAGAGCAGCCCTGTCCTTGTGCAGGGAGCCTCTGCCAAGGACCAGCTGCCACACACACAGAGAAGGGTGGCTCTGGAGATGCTGGAGAGAGTCTTTTGGGAAAGGAAAAAAAAAAGAAAATAAATAAAAGAAAAAGGGGGAGGAAAGGAGAGAGACTTCAGTTTGAATGTCTCTGCCAGCAGATCTGAGTAACACATTTACCATGACTCCAGTTTACAGGGCTCAAAGGGAACCATAAAACGTCTCGCAGTAACCCAAAATAGATCCTCTTTACCTAAAACTGTCACAATTCTCACATTTTTCTTGGGTTCTTCTGGGGTGAGAAGTAAATAGCAAGACATTGTTGGAAGAAGGAAAGCTTTCCTTCCCTGACGCCACCAGGCGCGTGTCCCTGGTTCGGCGAGGTACACAGCCTCGTGTCCTGGCCCTTCGTGGTTCAGAGAGCTGCTGTGGGTCTCTACTCCACCGTGGGTGGCTTTGGGGCTGCACCAGCGGGTCAGTGCAGGCTCTACCCCCTGCTGTCACCTACAGCCGCGCACCAAAAGCCACCAGCAAGGCTGAGCCGTACCTGGGTGTGCAGTGTCACGGCAGAGGGGCTGAAAAACAGACTGACCTGGTGTGAAATAGAGCAGCTGGGTGCAGCCTTCTCATAACGTGGTGGCAGAGCCCTTCCTTTGGTCCCCAGCGGCTGTCCCTTGGTGAGCAGAGGGACTGTGGCTGCGTGCCCGGCTGCCAGGGTCCCCATTTCGCCTCCCCGACCGCTGTGTCCCCAGCAGGGATCTGACATCTCTCCTCCTTTCAGCTGCTGGCCAACTCTAAAGCACATACCTCACGTTTCATCAGTGCCAACCTCCCGTGCAACAAATTCAAGAACCGCCTGGTGAACATCATGCCATACGAGCTGACCAGAGTCTGTCTGCAGCCCATCCGGGGTGTCGAGGGCTCCGACTACATCAACGCCAGCTTCATCGATGGGTACAGGTAAGTGGGTGCCTGGGCAAGCCTGTCCTGCTCTGGAACCTGGGCAGAGCTGCCCTCTCCTCTCCCCCAGGCCTGGTCCTGGCTGCCTAGAGGTGCGCTGGGGATCACTTTGTTGGGTTTTATCTATTTCAATCTTCTCAGACACTCCGGTGCGTATAGTTACAATATGTGAAGACTGCTAGCGAGGGAGCGCTGCCAGGCTGGCTTGTGTTGCTGTAGACAGATGCCCGCATGGCTGGGGTGGGAGGCTGTGCTGGCTCCTGAGGAGGTTTATAAAATCTTCTGGTCAGCATTCCTTGGCATGTGCTTTGTATCTGCAGCATCTGACACCCACCCACCTCCCCACTATCTGTAGCAACCAGAGGTAGAAGTGAGCTTGCACTTTGTGGCTGATCCAGGCAGGATCCAAGGCTCGTTGTCCCATGTCTTGTTTATGAATCCTCAGGCAGGGCTGGTGCTGGACACTGGGGAGCCCATCACTGGTTTCTGCTCCTCAGGATACCTTTGAGAAGGCACAAAGTAATATCTAGTAGGGCAATAACACTTATGGTTTCTTCATCTAACTGCTGGCATCGTGTTCTCAGATGCTAAGTGCCAGGAGAGGAGAATGCAGGGCAACAGCCCCATGGCCACATCACCTTCCCAGCCAGTCCCCAGCCACTAATTCAGACCAAATCCCAACGATGCACATAAAAAGCTCATTCCTGCCATCTCTCTGTGCACCGTCACAGTAAGGTCACCCAGTGCAGGAGTAGGGGATGCAGCGATGGATGTGGCTCAGCCCCTCTCCAGCTTGGCCCTGCCCAAATGCTTCTTACGGGCCGGTGGCCTCCCAGGAGCACCAGGCACTGCCAAAGGGAACAGATGTTGGTGCAGCCAGGCCAGCAGCTCTGTGCCTCTGTCCCTGCTGTAGCAGCTGAGCCCAGGAAGGGGTCCTAAAGGGGAAGGGCTGCGTGGAGGCAAGAGTGGGAAAGGAGCAGAAGGGGAGCAGCCCAACGCAGCAAAACTGCAGCAATCCCTCAGGGTGGGACAGAGCGATGGGGAAGGGTGAAGGGGCTGGAGAAAAGGGAGCAGCCTCTACTCCTTTCTGCCTGTGTGGCTCCGAGCTGTCCAGCACAGAGTCATTAACGTGGCTGCCTGCCTGCAGGTCTGTGACAGGCGGCCTGCAGCCACTGCCCTGGCTCCCGAGCTGGTTAAGGACGATGCTGGTTTTGCCCCTTGGTGATGCTATGGAGGGAGGGCAGGCAGGTGGTACCACTTCATGTGCTGCCTACCCCATCCCTGCAGAGTGCTGTTCTCTTTCCATCCTTTCCTTTGAACTGAAGAATCTTCTCAGTGTTATCTAAAGAGCTCAGTTGGCCCGAGGTCCTGCAGACATCACTGATGCTGCATCTTTATGAGCTCTTTTGTTTCATTCTGCACCCCCCACTCCCGGCTTTTTATGATGTCTTATAAATCCACCTTCAAGCAGCCGCTGTCTTCATCCTGCCCATTACAGCTGTCCTGTGGCACGTTCATTAATTTTTAGCACTGATGGAGCTGTGACAACTGGAGCAGAGGATGCTGCCCCTCATCCCACGGGCTCCAGCGCCCCGCAGTGGTGATGCAGCCGTGCCAGGCTGGGTGCTTCGCAAGCCAGGGAACCAGCACGGCCCTTCTCAGAGCCCAAAGCTCCAAGAGTGCTTTCTTCAGGGCTGGGGCAGGTCAAGCCCACAGGGGACATTTTGGGAGATGCTCTGGTTTGCAGTGCAACTGAGGACAAATTGGGAAGCTTCAGAAAAGTTGGCAAAGTGGTACTGGTGGTTTCCACGCTGTCCTAGCGATTAACTGGCGTGATCCAGGTGACCTGGTTCACTTGCTCTGTGTCTTCCCACGCAACGGGAGGGAGAGTGGGTGCTGCAGGGAGTAAAAGTGCAGGCAGTCAGGGGTGCTGCTGGGATCATCCCCAAGCACAGCCTCTCCTTTCAGCCCAGATGGGTGCTTGCAGCCTGCTCACATGGGCCTGGGTGCTGAGAGTGCTGGGGACAAGCAGCAAGAGGAGGCTGGGCTGGGGACACTGTCACCCCAGCAAGGACTAGCAGCCTTTCTGGATCCTGCACCCAGCAGTGCTCACTGTGTCCAGAGAGCACTTAGAAGACGTGAGATGGGCAGAGTCCCAGAGTCCTTGGCTAGTCCTAGACACCCATCTCCTGCAGCTGCATTGTCAGCCCTGCTCCCTGCTGCACAGGACCCCTGTCTCCAGCTCTCCCAGCCCCTTGGAGCAGCTGCTGTCCCCTCCCAGGTGCTGGTCTGAGCACCGTCTTGTTTGTCGCAGGCAGCAGAAGGCCTACATCGCCACGCAGGGACCGCTGGCCGAGACCACAGAGGATTTCTGGCGGATGCTCTGGGAGCACAACTCCACCATCGTGGTGATGCTGACGAAGCTGCGCGAGATGGGCCGGGTACGAATCCTGCTGGGGGAAGAAGGGGGCTGTGCGGCTGCTGTTTGTGGGCACAACCTCCCAGTTCACCCCAGTCTGCTCTGGGCCAGCCTCCCACTGGCGTGGCCCCACAGCCACGCGCGGTCCCAGGGAGCGGGAGGGAGGAGTGGCAGCGTGTAGGTGCTGATGTCTCGCCGTGTTCCTCATCCACAGGAGAAGTGCCATCAGTACTGGCCCGCGGAGCGCTCTGCCCGGTACCAGTACTTTGTGGTGGACCCCATGGCAGAGTACAACATGCCGCAGTACATCCTCCGGGAGTTCAAGGTGACAGATGCCAGGGTGAGTGCAACTGCTGGTTCCCCAGCTCCCCTGCCTCTGCCTCTACTCTGCCCTGCCCCAGCCAACGCGGGGAGCATGCAACCGCTCCTGGAGGGACCAGAAAGCAAGGCGCTGCCTTGCACTGCAGGCAGAAGGGGCTGCTGTCCCCCACATGCTGCTCCTCTCACCACGAGTTCCTTCCTGGCCAGCTGTGTCAGCCCCGGTGAGCTGCTCACTGATCCCTGTCGGCACCATACCCTGCCTTGCCTGTGCTGTGCTCTTGGGCAAACATTTAACATGGGCTCCCCTGCACCTGGAGTCTCTTGTGTGCAGCATCTGATGGGGCACAGGACCCCTGTGTGACAGCAAGCATGGTGCCGGGGTGGAGCTGGGCCTCAAACAGGACCAGGGCGTAAACCCTGCAGGGACCCAAAGCCCTGCTCAGCTCAGCCACCCTGGGGTGAACATGGGAGAGCAGAGGCAGGCCCTGAACACTCAGCCAAAGATCTCCCTGGGCTCATCCGTGGCCCATACACCCTCTCACCTGACCCAGGCCGGGGCGGCTGAGAGCGGGTTAGCAGCACCAGTGCTGAGGGGCACGAGATCAGCCCCTCCTGCTGTCTCTTCACCCATGGTTCGCATCCAACACCCTTGTTCCTGCAGGACGGCCAGTCACGGACCATCCGCCAGTTCCAGTTCACAGACTGGCCTGAGCAGGGAGTGCCAAAGACGGGAGAGGGCTTCATCGACTTCATTGGGCAGGTGCACAAGACCAAGGAGCAGTTTGGGCAGGACGGGCCCATCACGGTGCACTGCAGGTGAGTGGGGACAGATCAGCACCCACCTCAGAGATGTGCCCTTCTCTGGCAGCTGCCAGCTCCCCTGCACTTGGTGCCCCTCCTGCATACCACTGGCAAGAGGCAGGAGACGAGGAGGTGGCAACATCCACGGGCACCCGTGGCAGCCTTTCTGCCAGGTGACTTGATTAATGCTGTGCCCTGGTGGTACGGATCTGTAGCTCCTTGGAAGGGTCCTTGGGCAGGGCAGGGTGCCACAGCAGCTTGGCCCAGTGGCAAGGCAGCATCGGCAGACTCCATGGGATTTGACTTCTGGCTGGCAGTGTCCCTGTGGACTCACCTGGCTCCACTGAACACGTCCCTGTGAGCTTGCACTGCTCCTGGGAGCTCTGCAGAGCCTGCCTGGGGCTGGCGGGTCTCTAACAGCACCTCTTGCTCCCTCTGCACAGCGCTGGGGTCGGGCGCACAGGCGTGTTCATCACGCTCAGCATCGTGCTGGAGAGGATGCGCTACGAGGGGGTGGTGGACATGTTCCAGACGGTGAAGACCTTGCGGACGCAGCGGCCAGCCATGGTGCAGACAGAGGTGAGCGTCCCCTCCTCCTCAGGGTGCTGGGAGATCTGGGGAACACAAGAGGGGAGCCAGCGTCCCTGCATGTTAAACCCCGCTGCCCGATGTCCTTGGGTCCACGCATCTCACTCCCCTCCTTGCTGCCTTGCAGGACCAGTACCAGCTGTGCTACAGAGCGGCGCTGGAGTATCTCGGCAGCTTCGACCACTATGCAACGTAACTAGTGCTTTCCTCCAGTCGCGGTGGGGATGTCTAGGAGTGGAGACGGGTCCCTCTGAGCCAGAGCCGCCCATTCCTCAGTCCTTCTGTACAGACGGAGGCGCTGCCCAGGCAGCAAACCTCCACGCCAACCAGTTCTGACCACGGCATTTAGGAACTTCGCCCCAGCGCCAACTGAGGGAATCCGACTCCAAAAGCATTTCCAGTCTCTGGCTGAATTTCTGCTCATGTGCATCTCTCGCCCTCTCTCACGCGACTGCATTTCACAGCGAGGCTTTAGGTGGGTGGAATGGGATCTTTTTTTTAAACATGTAAAATAGTTACTAGTGGTTTTTATAATCTCCTCTCTCTTTATTTTTTATTGTTTTGCAAGTCTTAATGTTTTGCCCAGGCAGAACTGGACCCGCCAAACCTTTGGGAGTTGGGTTGTTTGGGTTTGTTGGTTTTTTTTTTAAATTTCCTTTTGCTTTTACATTTTTTATCGCCCTATGTTTATTTCAGCCCAGTCACTGCTGGTTCTGCCCATTTTAGTGCAGCTTTCTTGGTAATTTGCAGCAGCTGGCTTGTGGTTCCTGCCCGGCTCCATTCCCCGTAGGCTGCTTTTTAATCCTCTGTAGAATATGAAATTTCATGGAACCGGACCTAAGCTACCAATTATTTTTTTAGCCATTCCCTCCTCCCCCATTATTTCCTGAGTAGGTTTGGGTTTGGGAGGGCACGTGGGGTCGCTGGAGAAGCGGTCCCCTTTGTCAGCTGGAAACCGTTCGGTCCTATTACGATGCGTGTTAAACCAATCCAGTGACCGTGTGTATTGGCAGATCCCGATATGGCGTGAGTTGTCGTCGCCTTGTTTGTGAGAGACCCAAAATCCCGGGCTCGGGCTTCGGGGCCTCTTTTAGTGTGTCTCGCTGGGAAGAGGGGGCAGGAGAAGCGAGCGGGTCCCACGCTTCCCCGGGGAGGGGATGGGAAGAGCGAGACACGGCCCTTTTTGTTCATCCCACGGTTCTGTGTGTGCAAGCGCCGTTCTGGCACCTCTCACCAGCGAAGTGCATCGGAGCATTTGCAAAGGCAAGGAGCACAAGCCCAGCCGTCCCCAGAGCGGAGCCGGGCCGGCATTCTTTGGAAAGCAGGGTACTGCAGGGAAGGGGAGGGGAGCACACATGGCTTCGGAGGTTGGGTGTCTCTATAGTTTCTGCTATCCTGCAAATGTTAAAAGTCACTACAATATTGTACTTTCCGCTACTTCAGGACGTTCTAATGAACCAATGTGGCAAGACTACTGGACTTAATTTAATGGTACTATATATTAATACTCCTTATTATATCACGCTTGCACTAAAGACAGGGAGTGAGCAGCCCTCTTTCGAGTGCATTGAGTTATGAATAAAGGTGGTGGAAGGGTATCTAATTGTATTCTCACATGTATTCCGAATGTTAAGAATCCAAGCTACGTCGAAATCAGCAATCCAGGGTTGGTAATGTTGGAGGACACATTCATTTTTACCTTGTGGATGCATAGTGCTGTAGGGGTCACTGTTGTATACAGTCTGTTTTCTATTTGTTAATAAAAAAAAAAAATCTACAGCATCATTGCATAATTCTTGATGTTAATAAATTTGAATAATCGGGTTTCATACAAGCTGGCTTTGCTGTCTGTTTCTTCAGCAATAAGCAGAGGCCATGGAGTCTCTCGGAGATGGGCACGCTCCCCAGGCTGTTGCCAGAGAAATCCTTTCCCATGGGCAAATCCCAGCCCATGAGTGCCCCACACCTCCTGCAGGGACCCTGGGCTGCAGGGAGTTGGGGACCCGCTGTGACAACCACCTTTGTGCATGTGTGTGCTCACCTCCAGCCCACCTGCAGTGAGCTGGGGCGGACAGAGAGCCCTCAGTCCCCAGCACCTCCAGGAATGGCTCCTGCCAAGCCCATCTTTGCAGCCGTGGTCCTCTCTCAGTCCCCTCCATTTCCCCAAGGATGCATCATTCCCAGCAGGAGGAAGCCAGTAGCTGCTTTCTGCCCACCCCACATTCTGCACAAGCTGTTCCAGGGGTGGTTGGGACCTGGGACCTCTCCTCCCCACCTGCTCCAGTACCAGTTATTAATCCTCAGAGGACCCCAGGATGTAGCAGGATGCAGCCCTGGGGCGATGCTGAGCTTTGCAGGAAGCACGAGGGTTTACCTGCACCTCTTTCCTGCTCGTGTGCTGGCTGCAGGACCAGGCTGGAGTAGCTGCAGGCTTTGATTGTGGGTTTGCAGGAAGAGGAGGGGATGGTGGCAGTGGGGTTTGGTGGCAACATCAGTCCTGGAAGAGGCTGAGATGCTCCAGCCTCTTGGGATGCTGTAGTGATGCTGTGCTGCAGCACTGAGCACGGTTGTGGATGCAGTAAAACCATCGCCTGGTCCCTAATTGCAAAGCAGCACCTGGGTACGTTCAGCTGTGAAGCCCCTGCCAAGGCACACACCGTATGGCAGTGCCTGCTCTGCCTTGGTCACCCAGCCCCAGCCCTGCTACGAGTGAACTGCGAACCCCAGGTCAGTGCTGGCTCCTGGAGAGAGCAGTGCTCTCAAACAGCACATGAGGGCAAGGGAAAGGCCAAGGCCAGTGCGGAATCACTGCTTCAGGGAACTGCTTGAAAGAGTCCAGCAGGGCCACAAAGTGATGGAGGGAGTGGAGCATCTCGTGCTGAGGAGCGGCTGAGGGAGCTGGGGCTCTGGAGCTTGGAGCAGAGGAGCCTGAGGGGTGCCCTCATTCCTGGGGATCCATTGGGAAAGGGCAGTGTCAGGAGGAAGGAGCCAGGCTCTGCTCTGGGATGGCCAATGCCAGGACAAGGGGCAATGGTCCCAAGCTGGAGCACAGGAGGTTCAAGCTGCAGATGAGGAGAAACTTTGTGAGTGTGAGGGTTATGGAGCATGGCCCAGGCTGCCCAGAGAGGTTGTGGAGTGTCCTTGTGTGGAGACACCCAAAGCCCTGGCCGTGTTCCTGTGTGACTGCTCTAGTGATCCTGCTGTGGCAGGGGTTGCACTGGATCAGCTTTGCAGGGCCCTTCCAGCTCCTCACATTCTGGGATTCTGTACCAAGGCCCCATGGCCTCTCCACACTTCATGAAGAAGCCAAATCTGCCCTGACCAGCTCATGCACGATGGGTGAGAGCATGTGGCGGGCAGCCTGATGAGCTTTTCCCTGACGTGACCTTCTTCCTCCTCGCTGACTTTGCTGGAGCGCAGCCATACATCGTGTTTCCTGCCTGGTCAGAGCAGCACCTGCGCAGGTGCCAGATGCAAAACGGTGTTTCCCCCTTGCCTGGCTGGTTCCTACTCCAGTGCTTCACCCCCGAGGCTGGTGGAGCCTTTCCCTGGCGCTGAGGATGCAAATGCGAGGGCAAGGCGAGCTCCTGCCCGTGTGAGGCAGCGCACGTGTGCGTGCGTGTGTGCCAGCACCACTGCACCTGGGGCTTTGCTTTGTGCTGCTGCCAGGGCTCAGGATGGCAGAGCTCTGGAGCCAGGCGTGCACCTGCTCTCAGGTGGTTTTTGGGAGGAAAGCTGCCATGCCAGCCGTTGCACTGCAACAAAAATACTGTGGCTGTGCCAGTGAACTACAACCGGTGACGATGCTTTCCCCACATGGATGTGCCGCTCACCGAGCACTCACCAGGCACCGCCGCCTGCACAGCACAGACGTGTGGCTTCGAATGCAGTGCTTTGCTCTCACCAAAACCAGCAGTAGCCAGAACACTCATATATATGCACAAGCACACTCGTATGTACCTTCTTTCGCCTTGTCTAAGAACACCTGCAGCTTCCCACCCTGTTTGGTGTCATGTTCTTGCCATAATCCTTTACAATCGCCCCAGGGAAAACATGAAGGAACAAACACTCCCAGCTGACGGCCTCTGTGGGCTCCACCTCTCTGCCTGCCCTGTGAAAGGCACAGAGGGACCTGTTCGGGTGGTCAGTGAGCTCACCCACAGACCAAGTAGAAACAGGAGGAGGGGAGAGAGAACCCAGCACTGCTTACCTAGAGCCAAAAGGGATGGAGTCATATCAGCTTAAAAGCACTTATTCCTTTAATGTTTAGTTTCCTTTATCTCTACTGTGTTCAGTTCTGGGCCCCTCACTAG